CAATTCTGAGAAAAAAAGTCAGAATTGCAAGATATAAACTCGCAATTGCGAGAAAAAAAGTCAGAATTGTGAGATATAAACTCGCAATTCTGAGAACATATCAGTCTTTTTTCCCCCCTCAGAATTGGACTTTAACTCGCAATTGCGAGTTTATATCTAACAATTCTGAGAAAAAGTCAGAATTGCGAGAAAAAAAGTCAGAATTGCGAGTTTTTATCTCGCAATTCTGACTTTATAGCTCGCAACTGTGAGTTTATATCACACAATTCTGAGAAAAAAAGTCAGAATTCGGACTTTACATCTCTTAATTCTGACTTCATAACTCGCAATTGTGAGTTTATATCTCACAATTCTGTGAAAAGAAGTCAGAATTGTGAGATAAAAAGTCGCAATTACCTTTTTTTTTTCTTTTTTTTTATTCAGTGGCGGAAACAGGCTTCCATATAAAAGGGATAGCTCAACCAGAAGTAAAAATGTACTCACTCACTGTCTTGTTGTTCCAAACATGAATGACTTTCTTCTGAAGAACACAAAAGAAGATATTTCAAATAATGTTCGTGCATGGTAATTTTATATGGTCAAGTTCCAAAAAGAACCATAAAATAGTATCATTATGACTAAAAATGGACTGAAATATTGTGGAACAATTTGTGAACGATTTCCCTCCACCATAGCTTAAAAATCTCATTTGCATTTATTCAGACTTGCTCCATCCCGATTGGTCAAAACACTAGAAACAATTACATAATTTGCTTAAAACCTGATGTGTTTCGGTATGTTCCTCACACACTGTATGAAATCTAGCGCACAAGTCGTATGTACTTCGTATGTCGTCTTTTATGTTCCACGAATGAAAAAGTCTTACAAGATTTGAACGACACGATGAGGGTGAGTGAATGAATGAACAGTGACTATTCCTTTGAACATGTTTGTGTAAGGCCGTTTGATTAATGTGTATGTGGTTGGTATCAGAACGAACTCAGGTGAATGTTATGTATCAGATCGAGTCCGTGGGCAAAAGAAGAATCGAGGGCGCGTGTGCCTTGAAATATTAGTGTGTTAAACGTGTGCACACATATCTTTAATAACATCTTCCTATATCACTGTCACGTCTTAGTAATAATTGTAGATGTGTATTCTTTACAATATGTACACTTAATATTATATTTTTTATGACTAATTACTAGCGAAACACTAGAAAGCTGCAGTGTGCATTTCAATCTAGAGAGATGGCAATAATAGTATGAATAATTTCTTTGGTTTGTTTTCTTTTTTAAGTAATGTAGCTTTGACACACAGGCACACAAACTGTTTGTGAGAGCGAGTGTGTGAATGTTGAAGAAGCTCTGTGTGTTTTCAGTTTGTTTTTGCACTTTTAAAAACTTGATTTTGATACCAAATGCAATGTTAGTGGCGGTACGACGACGATAACGAAGCCCTCGGGTCTGTTTGCATTTGTGTTTACAAGCCGTTTGTTGTGTAGTTAAAATTGCAGATGTTTGCATGTGCAAGTGTGTTTGTGTTATAAGAGCGAGACCCGAGAGAAATGTCGACCGATCGGTACTCTGTGCTTGAATGTTATTCATATTTTAAGTTTATTTTTATTTTCTTATTACTATTTTATTTTTTGCCAAATATTTTCTTTAATATTCCGTCTTTATCCTGTTATGGATAACTGGGTTCTATTCTCTCCTCAAGACCGAATTCTTTCTCATTTCTCATCGTTACTTACGTCATACGTTACGTTAATTCATTTTTGTGGTTAAATTGAATTCAGCACTGAATTCAGGTGTGGAATAGCAGTCAGTCTTTACTAGAAATAAAAGGTAAGACACGAATCCCCCTTTATCTCGTCTTCCGCGTAGACTTCCGCTCTTTATTAACCACTTTTTCTGAGTGTCGTCCTTTCCAAACATTTGTGATTTGTTTATGCATTTGCAGGACATGAACGTGAGGGGAATTTAATTTAGTGATGTAAGAATTATGCCAATATAATACCACAGTTGGTCATTCTAATTGACACATTCTTTCAATCAGAGTTTCATATCCTCTTCTTCCTCCACACCACCATAAAATTTTAATAGCTGAATAAATACATTTACAGGTAAATGAATAAACAGATGCAGCAGAACCTGCAATGTGAAATCCATGTTTATATTGTTATTTTCTTTTCAGCTCTTGTATGTGTTCATGTACCTAAAAACACAAACGCATACTGTACATTATGAACTGGTACAATATTTTGTGGTATGTCCTGCCTTGAGCATCTGTCCATGGTGTGAAACTGGAACACTGGTCTGTTGTCATTTAGTCAAATGCCTTTTTAATGTAAACTGATGCTGGTAGTTTCTTTTCTTTCAACTGTTTTTTTTTTAATATATATATATATATATATATATATATAGCGATACTGTACTACATGTCATCTGTTGTCAGAGTTAGGCTTTAAAATCAGATATCAAACAAATAAATATTTAAAATGGGTTTGTGTGTCAAATGCCAAAACACCTTTTTTTTCTTTCTTCCAAATTAATAAACTAAACCTATGTACATGCATAATGTTTAACAACGATGAAAGTTAAAACATTGGCAATGTATATTTCATCTAGCTAGAAAGCACTTTCCACAAATGGGGATTGCAGATGATGAATGCAGTTTACATTAAGCGATGAAAATTAAACTTTTTTTTTTAAGTTTCGAAATTACGATGATAGTAATTGGGTAAACAAAGGTAAGGTAACACAAAAAGGTCACTTTAGATTACATTAGTTACTGCATTAACAATGAGCAATCCATTTGTTACAGTGCTCATTAACATTTGTTAATGGTCATTAACTGTTCCTTGTTAGGTAATGTTAACTCACTTCCAATAAATAATGTTAGCAGGTACAACTTGATTTTAATAACGTGTTAGTAAATGTTGAACTTAACATTAACTAAGATTAATAAATGCTTTAGAAGTATTTTTCATTGTTCATGTTAACTAATATTTCACTTTATTACCTTAAATTATATATGTCTGCACTATGTCTGTACTGTCACACTTGGCAATAAACCTCTTTCTGATTCTGAACTAATGCAGTTAATGGGGAAAAATGAATATAAAGTTTATAAACATGCCAAAAATAAAACTTAATGTGCTTTACATGTGTTCAAATAGTAAAACGTTCACAATGTCAATATACTTTGGCAAATCAAGGCATAAAGTTTATTATACATATTTCATACACATTGATCATTCAAAGTGTTTTACATAAGACAGAAAAATTAAAATAAAAAATAATTTACGAATAAGGAATAAATAAAATAAATGTTTAAAAAATATATAAAAATACATTTTATATAAACGTGATCTCAATCATTATAAAACCTTATATTCATTAATGACAAAGTTACATTGAAGTGTTAAAGTAGGTCCACTTTTTCATTGCAAAACAATAACATCTGAATATTAGCCTGTAAATGTGTGCATCATTTCTGAACGTTAAGCAATTCAGTGCCTGATTAATTTAATGCAAAATTAATATTCTGAAAATTATCACATTTGAAAATGTAGTTGGTTTTACATTGGTAACACTACAATATGGTCTCAATTGTTAAAGGGATAGTTCACCCAAAAATTCTGTCATTAATAACTCACTCACCCTCATGTCATTCCAAACACGCAAGACCTTCGCTCATCTTCAGAACACAAATTAAGATATTTTGGATGAAATCCGAGAGCTTTCTGACCCTCCATAGACAGCAAGGGAACTGCCACGTTCAAGGACCAGAAAGGTAGTAAAGACAACATTAAATAGTCCATGTGACATTAGTAGTTCAACCTTCATTTTATGAAGCTACAAGAATACTTTTTGTGTGCAAAGAAACCAAAAATAATGACTATTCAAAGATTTCTTCAGTGTTGTGTTCACGACAGTACCACGACACATGTGTGTGCATACTTCTGCTTGTAAACAAGGCTCAGCACATGCGTGTTCTACATCAGAACGCCGGCTCCTGTGTCAGCAGCATCACACGCATGCGTCGTGGTACTCTCGTGAATGGTGGCGGAGACTGACCGGAAGAGAAGACATTTTTGAATAAAGTCATTATTTGTGTTTTCTTTGCGCACAATACGTATTCTTGTAGCTTCATAAAATTAAGGTTGAACCACTGATGTCACATGAACTATTTTAACGATGTCTTTACTACCTTTCTGGGCCTTGAACGTGGTAGTTCCCTTGCTGTCTATGGAGGGTCAGAGAGGTTTCGGATTTCATCAGAAATAATCTTAATTTGTGTTCTGAAGATGAACGAAGATCTAACACGTTTGAAACGACATGAGGGTGAGTAATTAATGACAGAATTTTCATTTTTGGGTGAACTATCCCTTTAATGTATTAGCTAACATGAACTAACAACAGACAATATCTTTTTTACAGCATTTTTAATGTTAGTTAATAGTTCATGGTTCATAGTGGATTAATGAACATAAATACAACTTTTGATTAAAAAAAAAACATGAGCAAGTAAATGTTGAAATGATCCAATATTAATAAATGCTTTACAAGTATTGTTTATTGTTAGTTCATGTTAACTCATTTTAATTAAATGAGAATGTATTATAAAGTGTTACTTTAATATCTAATGCAATGAAATTCATGCATTTTTAAATGTATTTTAAAATGTTCAAATACAAGTTTGGGTTCATCATACCTGATGTTTTGCCTTGTCATCATGAACATGAAACCAAAGGAATGAAAGAAACCTTCATCGAAAATTCCATGACTACACTGAAAGTGAAAGTTCCCCTGGAGGCACAAGAGGGCGGTGCCTCAGGTGAGAGGAGGAGGGGCAGTTTAGGGAAGGGGCGTGGCTTGTACTGTGTGTAAGAGAGTAAATATTTTTCACTACTGGTGGAACCTGTCCGTCTACTTCACCAGAGACGCACGGAGACTCAGCCTGAAGTGCAGGACGCACAAAGAACAGCGGAGAGAACAAACACATTTACCAGAAACCAGAAAGAATGCTGGACGGAGCGACAGTCTGGACATAGACCACCGGATTGGACATCATGTAGATGAAGACAACTCGCGTTGTGTTTGTGTTTGTTTACTTGACAGGTGCATCAGTGTGTTTGAGTTTGAATGAGACGTGTGTGTTTCTGAGGACCTTTAATGGGTAGAAGCATCCTGGATATGGGGGGATGTCAGAGTTACAGCAGCTCTGATGAAGAGGATGTCAGCGCTCTGAAGGCAAACTACACTAATGTCAGCCTGTTCAAATTGTGAGTATATACTTCACCCACACACACTAGATAGGCAGTAAAATAAGGAATGCACACATCACACAAATGTCTGCTGAAGAGATAAGCGCCAGCATATCTTCAGAGAGAGAGAATGTGTGTGAGCATATCAGGAGTTTCATTTGTGCATCATGTTGGAAAAAGACTCCAAGTCAAAGGAAACTTCCACAAGTCCATGTGTGTTTGTGTGTGAAAACATGGACCCTCTGCACAAGGGTTTATGGGTAAACACACCTGGCTGCCACGGTGTGTATTTACATACTGCACACCTGTGCATAAGTGCAACCGGTCATTTTGGTGAAAAAATGCATTGCTTGATTAGAAAATGTTGTCTCAAACAAATAAACAGTAGTGGAAATACTGATATAGGCATGTACTATTTTCATATGCAATAGTACAATTACATGGTACCCCAAGGTACTTGCATACCATGATATTACCACAATACATGCACAAAAACAGGGTACATACATTACCAATACCATTGTACTTGTAGGTACTTTTGTAGGGCAGTCACTTCAAAATTAGAAATACATGGTTCTTATATTTGTTAATATTTTAAACTACTGTATCTAACATGTGACCTTTAATAGAATCTAACCTCAATATAATCTAACCTTGAGTTTCCACTCATGCACACTTTTCACCTAAACTAAAATGAACAGAAAACTTACGTATTATGTATGACTACAGCCATAATATGTACATTAACAAATTGGAAAACAGGAAACAAAAGTTCAGCAAGTCTATACTTAAATAATGTAACTGATAAATAATTTAAAAATAATAATAATTCAACTGATAAAATAGGAAAATATAAAATATGGAAGCCAATATCAAGTAAATATGGTTATTCAAGTCACTTTGATGTACAAGAGTTTACTGAAAAAAAAAATATATATATATATTCTAAATAACCTCAATAAGTCACTTAAATGTACAAGAACTCAGTACACTGATGATATGAGAGGGAGGTGATGCCTGAGGGATCTTGCTGAGATTTGAAAAAAAATAAAAACACTAATCAGAGTGCTTGATTTAGATTAAATCATGCAATAACTCAACATGGTGTGATAAGAATCTCATCAGCTCATTAAGTAATGAGCAAAAAGCTGAGCCAATTTATATATGTCCCAAGTACACACTATATATATATATATTTCTACCTCTCTATATCGCTCTAGTTGTAACACTGCAAATCTACCACACTTATTTTGTGCAATGCTTTGACTAAAAAGTACATGTGATGTTTCTTTAAAATAAATATCACTTGGTTTGATAGTTTGTATCTAATGCAATAACATTTATACACTGCATAAGAGTGGCATAAGTATCCAAATGCTTCTTGGAAGACCATATGGAAGATATTCCACCTCACAGCCCGTGTTTTAATCAGTCAGGACAAGGCCACCATCTCGAACCTCCCACCACACACAAACACACACTATCAGTTATTTCAAGGCTGAACTCAGAGGTCTGTTTTCTCTGTGTTCACACACTCAGCGCGCTCTGTCAGGCCAGCGTCTGTGTGGTTTTTCTCATTTGCATGAATGAAAATTATTAGCGTTGTCTACAGTAGAAAGCAGCACTCTTTCCAGTGAGAATGTGCTGATTGCTCACTAATGCTGTCGGAAAACATGAACAAGTGAAAACAAGCCCTTTCAGTACATACAGTAATCGACCAGCCCCGTGTGCACACATGACAACTAAACTACATCCCTGTGTGTCCTTGTGCAACGTCACTCTGTGTGTATTCACAAACTGTTTGCTATTTGCGCACCAGCTTAACTATTTAAACACAGATTAACTAGTAGACATGCTCACTGCAAAAGAATTTCACATCACAAAATCGGCCATTTATATATCAGCACATTTCAAATGAGATTCCTTTTCTGCATTTCTCCTCTTCTCTAGCTTGCTTCCTAATCTAGTTGTCAAATAAACCTGGCATTGTATATTACAAATATTGTTTGCTCCTTAACAAATTGCTTTTGTTCCCTCTTTTGTAAGCCGCTTTGGATAAAAGCATCTACTAAATGCATAAATGTTTAAAATGACTCCGTTTGACCCTCCATTCCTGGTCATACCGTGCACAATTCATTAGTGAATTTTATATATAAAAAAAATAGCTTTTATCAAAATGTAATAAATTGCTCTGCTGTGAATTCTCATCGAATATTCTGTTGACAGAAGAAATAACAGTCTACATTTAGTCCCGTCTGCTGAGGTCAAACCTTACCTGACAGATCACTTCCTGTCCAGACGCATCACTGATCTCGACCTTCTGACCCTCTCTGCCCTGCCACACGGCCTCGACCAGCAGGAGTGGATAGCAACAAACAGTGAGTATTCAAAATCACAAAGAAAGTATAAAAAATGAATGCCAGAAAAAAAAAAAATTATACTTTTTTTTTTTTTTTTTTTTAAATAAACACTACTAACCCCAACCCAAATCCTACCACTACAGTTTTTTTTACAACTGTATTAAAATTAATTAAAACTAATATTTTTTTTAAAAAGTGTTTAGTGTTTATATATAGTGTAAATTCAATACACACACTAGTCATAGAGCACATAATGCCATTTACAGTTAAACACCCAGTGATTAAATAGATGACGACACACTCAATTCAGGGCGGAAACAATACACTAGAGACATGTCAAATATTTCTTAACATATGTATCATGTTCAGTAACGCATTAAGGAATGATGGGAATGTGTTGGGCTTGGCTCACATATCTAGACATTTAAATAAAGGCTGGTCTGTAGCATAACTTATTCTGACCTGAGATCACCCACTTAGAATAAAAAAAAATAGTATGTACAAATAAAAATCACAGCAATTTTTGTTTGAACTACGCATCAGATAGTTTGGCAGTGGTCTGTGGGTTTGTTAGGCTCTGTGTGTGTAATGTGTGTTAACTCATCTTACCATCTCTTCCAGCGGTGTCGTTTTTCCAGCACACTACCCTCTTCTTCAGCGCTCTGTCTGATTGTTGCTCAATTACAACGTGTCCGGCAGCCAAAAGCTCAGGAAACCTGTGAGCAGAACAAACACATTTCATTACAGCTAGTTAAGAGACTAACTTAATTCACAGCTTGAATAAAGGCATAAAATGAGGCGTATGTACGCCTTACAAAATATTGCCAAAGTAACAGTTTATTATAGTTAACAAGACAATATCACAACAGTTTTACAGTGGTAGCTCTGTAGTCGCTATGGTATTTTGATGGAAGCTACACTGTAAAACCAAGACAGGATTTAACAAACTACAATAAAAAAAATGTATGAAACACTGACGGTGAAATGTGAAACCTGTGAACACACACACATATATATATAGTAAAATAGTAAATTAATAGTAAATTACATATATATTGAATAGTAAATAAATGTAACTTTTTTCCTATTATAATAATATAATACAATTATATAATATTATATTGTAATTATTATATATTTTTATATTCAATTAAAGTGGAGGAAATTTGCAGTACTGTTGTGGTTGTTATCACTGGTTTATTTTGCATGCAGATATCAACACCCAATGAAATAATTTACAAAAGAATCCTAAACAATCATTTCATAAAAAGTAGCTTTGTTGTCACAAACAACAGCAGAGACAGCAAAAACACCAGGAACTGTATAATTGATTCATGCTGAAGCACTATTACAGAGCATTATAATAATTCTACATGTGAATCACATACAGTCAATTCATTATATACTACTGTAAAAATCTAAAATATTTTATAGTGCATGGTTACAATTGAAATTTTTTTGTAAGCGATACTGATGAATTGTTTGGTTGTGTTCAGTTTGTATGAATGGACAGACGATCAGGGGAAGAAACTGAAGTGTTCAGCTCCGATCTACATCGACTACGCCTTGTCCTACATCCAGGAGATACTCTCAGATGAGCGTGTGTTTCCTACCAAGGCCGGTATGAAGTTCTCACCATCAGAATTTGCCATAGCTTTAGCCTAGTGAGCTGAAAATGATCTGAACTCACAGAAGTGACTGTATATGTGTGTGTTTAGGGTCATCGTTCCCTTCTGGATTCATATTCCTGATTCAGAAGATCTTTGTGATGCTCTTCCGTACGTTGGCTCACCTGTTCAGCGTTCACTACCAGGACGCCATCGCTGTGGAGATACACCCGCAGCTCAACACGCTCTTCACACACTTCATCACCTTCAGCCACACATTCAGACTGCTGGAGCCCTCAGAGACTGCGCCGATCGACGAGCTCATCGCAGTACTCACATGCTGACACACAAACTCAAGGAATATACACGTGAGGTCTTCACAAAAGGGCACAGCATGAGCCTGTGAATCATAAAATTCACAAATGGAACACTCTATAGCTTTGGCACCTAATGGGACATGTGCAAGTGAAGACCACAAGACTGTAAGTCCACATGTCCACATCAAGTACACTATATAGGACAGTTCCTTTTTTGATGTTACATGAAGAACCCCTTTGATGTTTTGACCCAGTGGAACTAGAATGTGTCAATCAACTTCAGGCTGAGCTCTGATTGGACAGCGCAGCTGCTGGCCCCACCTATAAGTGGTTTTTCAGTGCCAACTGTGAACGTGGGTTATTTTCTTTCGGCCAGTGATCACACAGCCTTTAGCGGGATGCAATTCTTAGGAATCTGGGAGCACCGGGAGCTTTCAACAGTACTTTTCAAATTATGGCCAAATTATTCCCTCTTTGTGTGGTTGTCTGCCACAATCAATGAAAAAAACAATGTTTGAGGAGAAAACGATTTAAAAAGTTTAAGCTCACTTTTTTTTGTAGAAATAACTACTTCTATTCATCAAGGATGCATTAAATTGATCAAAAGTGAGTCAGTGACAGTAAATACATTTATGTTACAAATAAATGTATAATGTTACAAAATATTTCTGTTTTAAATAAATTCTGTACCTTTTCTATCTATCAAAGGATGCTGGAAAAAAAAAATGTATCAGTTTCCACAAACATTAAGCAGCACAACTGTTTTAAATATTGATAATGACTGACTGCTGAAATATCTCAGGAATAAATGACATTTTAAAATAGATTAAAACAGAAAACATATATATTAAATTGTAATAATATTTCAAAATATTACTGTTTTCATTTAGTTTTGATCAAATAAATGCAGCTTTGGTGGGCACAAGAGACTTCTTTCGTAAACATTAGAAATCTTACCGACACTACATCATGTCCTAATCAGATGCGACGCGATAATACGACAAAATAAATGACTTTTCCACGTTTTTATACAAACCAGTCGCGACTGTGACAAGTATAAGTAAGTTTATTGGTCACGTGACTCCTATTTCTATAGCTCCGCCCTCTCTTAAATCTCATTGGTTTGAAATCCCGCGCAGCATCTTCGATTCCAGATGAGAGATGAAGTCGCTATAAGCAGTGTTGGGGGTAACGCATTACAAGTAACGCAAGTTACGTAATCAGATTACTTTTTTTCAAGTATGCATTACGTTCTATAAAAAGTAACTAAGTAACGTAATTAGTTACTTTTTTATGGAGTAACGCAATATTGTAATGCATTACTTTTAAAAGTAACTTTCCCCAACACTGGCTATAAGCGCATCCCGTCGTGTCTTTTTAGGACGTGCTGTGAGAAAGGAGAATTAAAAAGCCTTTGCTACTGCGTACAACATTACTGAGGTACTTTATCACAGCAAATGGTTCTGAAGCATTCACAAACGTAATTTCACGCAAATAATTTTTCTGACTTGAACATAATTAGCCTACTACGATTAGCCTAATTCACAAAAAACACCTAGAATGATACTGTGATAGAATAATATGTAGCCATAATATACTGCTGATGGTCTTATATTTGTTTAGTGCTGGTTCGTGTGCCTGTGTGTTGAAATAGAGAGGAATATGAGGATAAAGAGAGAGATCAGATGTTTCTCCTCAATCCTGAGCATTCATAAATGAACAGCCCTGAGGATATTAGAAATGTACACATGAATACACACCGCGGAGAGCTGGTCTGACTGGTTCCCAAGAGGAATTAGATCTGTTTATACACACATTGTCATGCATCAGTGCATTTATTACTTTGTCTTTTTATCCTGCGCAAAGAATTTAAGATTTTTTTTTTTACTCCCATCCCATTTTTGGGATGACAGACTGTTACATTTCTCAAACACACAAGATAGTGTATTAGTATACTATTATACATTGTAGACATAGTATATACTGTATACTGCTTTAAAAAAGTATGTCATTATGATGTATAGTGCTTTTTTTTTCAATTGTATGTCATTTCCCAGATAGCACACGTACATCGGCAAGATGTCTGTTAAAGATCGCTTCATCTGGAAAGCACCTGCTGTGTACAAACATAGACGTCTTTCAATTGTCAGTTTTGCATACATTCTAAATCATAAACATCTTGAAGACATCTTATAAACGTCTATTTGACATCTGATAGGAAACATCCTATAGACGTATTGCAGATGACCAAACACTCTAAAAAAAAAACGTCTTGCAGACGTCAAATAGACGTCTCCGTGATGTATGTGTGCTATCAGGGTTAGTAGCATATGCAAAATGTTTCAAACTGGAGCATGCTAGACTCTGGTCACATGACCTAACCACATTACTTGTTTTTAATTCCAGTGAGTGAATAATGAATGAATCTCTGTTATTTGCATTTTCAGTCCATGTTTGTGTAAAAATTTGTTCACTTTTAGAAGTTGTCAAATGAGTCTGAACAAGTGAAGCATATTACATTGTGGGATACAGCCCAGTGAAGTGTGCGCTGCTGTATGCTGCACATTTAGAGAATAGTAGCATATCATCCATTCTTGCATAGAGAAAATTCACAATGTTATACATAGTATACTATATGCTACAGAAGCAGTGAAGTGAAGTGAAGTGACATGTGGCCAAGTATGGTTACCCATACTAGGAATTAGTGCTCTGCATTTACCCATCCTAAGTGCACACACACAGCAGTGAACACACACACACCGTGAACACACACCCGGAGCAGTGGGCAGCCATTTATGCTGCGGCACCCGGGGAGCAGTTGGGGGTTCGGTGCCTTGCTCAAGGGCACCTCAGTCGTGGTATTGAAGGTGGGAGAGAGCGCTGGTTATTCACTCCCCCCACCTACAATTCCTGCCGGACCGGAGACTCGAACTCGCAACCTTTGGGTTACGAGTCCGACTCTCTAACCATTAGGCCACGACTTCCCCACGACTACAGTATACTAGTATTTCAAACACTCCTGGAACATGCTGTACTTTTCACAGGTTTGGTTTGATATAGCATACTACTCTTACTAAATAGTATGAGTAGTATGATAGTATGCAATTCCAAATTCAGCCTATGTGTCAAAGCACTGAGGGAACATAAATGTGTTGCTCCAGCAGGGGGTAGCAAAGGGAAAATGTCATTGAAAAAGACTTTCACCATCCACTACATGAGCACCAACACACTCCTAGTTCTGAGAGTTATGGAGATTTAAAACACACTTGCACACATATTTAATCAAAAGACTGGACTCCAAAGGGCTGTTAGCACTACATTGTGAAACCTTGTGAAGCAGTGTTTGGATACGAAGTTGAAATAAAGACCTTGACCACTGAAGGGGAAGTCGTGGCCTAATGGTTAGAGAGTCGGACTCATAACCCAAAGGTTGTGGGTTCGAGTCTCGTACCGGCAGGGATTGTAGGTGGGGGGAGTGAATGTACAGCGCTCTCTTCCACCTTCAATACCACGACTGAGGTGCCCTTGAGCAAGGCACCGAACCCCCAACTGCTCCCCAGGCGCCGCAGCATAAATGGCTGCCCACTGCTCCGGGTGTGTGTTCACTGCTGTGTGTGTGCACTTTGGATGGGTTAAATGCAGAGCACTAATTCCGAGTATGGGTCACCATACTTGGCCACATGTCATGTCATGTCACTTGAAACATCTCATAAGTGCACAGATTGGTTGATTCATCTTTCAGGGCACCTGCTGATGGGCTGAGATTGGAGGAGTGAACGGGTGAGGGTAGTACAGAAAAGTACAGTAGCGGTGCTCAATAGACTGTTGTGTCTTATTCCAGCAAAAGCTGTCATTTCAGCCTCTCAGTGAGTCTGAAAAAGAGCTTTTGATAGCAAACAGAGAGAGTCTATATTGTGTTCAGGGTTAAAATTATGTTGGATCAGAGGTAATTTTCACAAACAGGGAACAAAATAGGGCCCTAAAACTCTTAAAAATGGTAATCTACTTCAGGAAGGCAAACTAAATATTGAGTATGCAATGTTTGCAACCTGTAACCAAAATAAAGGACTGTCTAAATACATTTTAAACCCTTTTATTTTCTAACAATATAACCATATATAAAAAATTATATGCACAAATGATAAATTCAGTCTAAATTGGGATAAGTATAGCTAGTTTGGAAGCAAATGCTAGTTTGTTATTATTGATAAACTTGTTTTCTGGGGAAAAAAAAGGTTTGTTAACTTTGGTAACAGGGTTGAATGGTTGAGCTTGATGAATGCCGTCAACAATGCAATATTTGTAAAATAAATAAAATAATCTGAAAATGGATGGAGATTATTTGCTTTTTTATTATTGCACACAATGCAGTAGAAATGATTCAAATTGATGTAAATTCTTGTAAAATTCATGGGTGTCACAATTTTTATTCTAGACATTAATATAACATATCAAATAGTGTTTTAAAATAGATAAGATTTGTGCATCTGATTTAAACAGATTTTAAAAGGATTATAATAATACTTTGCTGAGTTTCGTATTATAATAATGTATGATAAGTGAAGAGAGACACTTGGACAGACACACAAATATACACTTACACACACAAGCAGGCAGCTCTGTCTGAGAGAACTGAGGCATGAATGCAAGCGTATCCTGTTGCTGTCTGACCCATTACGCAAAACAAACACACACACACACACACACACACAAAGAGCTCAGGAGGTGTCTGCAGAACCCGATCCATTTCAAGGGCTAATGCTAATTATTTATATTGCATGAAAACGTATCTGTTTGTCCTGAAAATGATTAACAATCACAAGTCACAAACTAACATGCTAATACACAACAATATTCCAATATCTGGACATTTTTGCTAAATAACTGCTGCTTTGATCCATAGAAGAAAAATCTATGGTTTTGAACTAATAGGCAGCTCAGAACATTTTCACAAAATGCATCTATTTAGTAAATTAAACTTGTAAAATAACGTTTTCCAAATAACGAGACACCCAAGTTTATGACATACTTTATGAGACTGAGATACAATAAACATCCTAAGCTTTTAAACAAAGACAATCAGAAGCCTCTGAACACACGGACATAAAAAAAACTTGACCTTTATGCTGCTAAGCTATAAAAACACAATCATGCAAAACGACAATCGAAAACACTCGTTTAATGCTGTTATACAGTTTAGACAATCACATTGCTTCAAAAAGCACACTGAGGTCAAAGTCTAATTGACCTCTAAAATTACCTTAAACAAGATTCACAACAGAGACACCAAAACACACAAGCATCAGTGACTGACTCTCATTAACATGAACTCAACTGTTGGTAATCCTCTTTAAAAGGGCACAGGGCACAGAGAGCTCTATAAAACTAAACACACTCTTCTGTTATTGTCTCTGACCTTTAAATAAAGCCACCATGTCACACCTGACGGAACAATTATATTTTTATATCATGACACATACTTAAAAGGCTTGGCATAAGCTGAACACTTGAAACAATATTTCCCTCAAGAGCCAGCGTTCCTACAGGAGTCTCATGTTCACTTGAATAAAGAGCCAGCATGAATGAATAAATAAATAAATATTGTATTTTGTGCATAAAACACATTACATATCAAATACTTAAAAATATATTTTTATTTCATACTGACCACAACATTCTATCTATCCACTGAATACATTTTATTCATATTTTACCACAACATTATAGATAGATGTATTTTTAGTTAATCAAGCGCCTGTGGAGTCTCAGAAGTATCAACAGAAATCCACATTGGGATATGAAATAATTCGTTGCTGTAAGGAGGATACTGATTCATAATAACTGTACCAAGCCTGAAGTGCCAGTTATCCAGTGTCTCCTCCCTCTCAGTATTTAAGCATGAAGTTTTCGGGGTCAGTACTGAGAGTTTCTCCAGCCAAATCAATCAAAGTCCTTTAAAACCCGCGATTTCAACAGTCTTACACACGTGTGATAACATGAAATGAGCGGGACACGTCGGTATCCTCTCCATATCAGTGTGTCTTTTAAAGTAAGGGGTGAATACGTTTCTGCTCTCTTTAAAAGTAGCTTTTCGTTGTAACCTTACGAACTTCCTCGTTTCCTCTTTTCTCCTCCGCAGCTGCACGTGCATGTCTACCTGAGCTGAGGACCGTCATCTCGACCTCATTCACTGGGACTGTAGAGGAGAGCAGACTGCTGTCATGAAATCTCTGCAGCTCGTGTGTGTGTTTCTTCTGCCTCTGCAAACACTCGCGCTGCCGCTGCGCAACAGGTGAGAGACGCGCGGGACACCGGCGCCGCCCGGTCACATCAGCTATCATGACCGTATGGATGCTATATATATTATACATATATTATACAAACACTATGATCGATATTCTCACTTCTCAGTATCACTAAGGTTTGGAAATGTTTATGTAGAGCTCGTGCGCGTTATTCATATGCAAATAAATCTAGTAACAAAATATCTTAAATTGTTAACATTAGTCGATGCATTACCAAAAATGAACTTACCATGAGCAATATATTTACATAATTTATTAATCTTTGTTAATGTCAGTTAAGAAACTATAATTGTTCATGATAGTCCATAGTGCATTAACTAATTTAACAGATACAGCTTTTACTAATGCATTTTTTAAATCAAATTTTGAAATTGACATTTAGGATTAATAAACGTTGTAGACATATGGTTAATTGTTAGTTCAATTCAATTCAAGTTTATTTGTATAGCGCTTTTCACAATACAAATCGTTGCAAAGCAACTTTACAGCAAATTAAGTTTCTACAATATTTAGTGGTAGCTTATCAGTGGTGACTGTCAGTTAATGTACATATGGCAGAAATGTACGGAAAAATCAATTCAAGACGTAATCAAACAGACGATGAACACTATTAACAGCAATTATTATATGATGCAATCAAACTTATAGCAAAATGTGGTAGTTCTGTATGTTGTTTCAGGGTTGGCAGGTTAACTAATGAAATCAAATGAAGCCTTACTGTAAAGTGTGTTACCATTACTCTTATATAAACAGATGCAATGCAGACCAGACATTACATAGATTACTAAGCTAAACTTGAAGTATGTATGTTCATGGCAAGCCATTTTAACATTCATCATCTATTGTTAGTATCGATCAAATTTGTTAGCAATACTTATTTTAAATTGCTTCAAAGTAATAGTAATGACTTTTAAGTTTTTGTCAATTTCAACTATTCAATAGTTTTTTTTTTAAATAGCAATTGTAACTATAATATGCAGTGTTACTAGGTAGCATGAATTGAGGTAAATTGGGACACTTGTTTCTAATGAGATGACTGGTAAAATTGCCCAATTATCCTGAATTAACCCTACAATTGTGACAAATACTATTTTCTCATAAATAAATATCAGTAAAACTATTGATATAGTAACTAGTTGCAAAGGAAGGTAAACAATAGTATGTAAAGAATAAGTGAACAATTGAACACTAGTGTATTCAATTGGAATAAGTATTAGTATCCAAAGAATGGGTAGTAGTGAAACTGATACTAGACACTATTGGTTTATTTTACTAGTATAATTGAGGATAAATAATGCTATTAAATAAAAATACATAAAGGTAGTTTTACAGAATATATGTTAAAATGGCTTGCCACACACGTGTGTGTGTGACCTGTAGATCCATGAGATAGTATGCGTCACCTTGACTGTCTGCATTTGGCACAGGGAGCGCAAGAGAGACGTGCCACCTGTAACGTAGTTTCTCGGATTTCCCCTTCGTAACCGCTTAGTCATGATATGGATCAGGCTATTTCGAACTCTGACTTGCAGGATGCAACATGGAATCATGCCTTCAACACAATCCACATACCTCCAAAATTTTGGATTAAACTGCATTCATTTTAAATTGCATTAAATATAAACTACTCAATTAAGTGGCATTAATTTGATACATAATTTTATTTACAAAATGCAGGTTTTAAACGGTATAACAGTAGATATAATAATAGAAATGCTGCAAAATAAACAAGTATTTGGACACTGGCTATTGGTTTTTCGTTTGAGTCACTTAAAAGTAGTTGCTAAAATGTTTAGATTCTGAAAAAGCACTACTATATTTGTTAACAGAGGTGTGACGTCATTTTATTGGTATCACTTAGTGTGTCAATACCTTCTGAGGGTCACTTCATCTGTTGGTTTGAGTCTTGTAATGATGCCGCTTCAGACTGAATGTCACCTCAGTGGCTCTCCCTCCTGGTGGGTTGAGACAGTTTCTTCCACTGAACAATGAGTCTGAGGCCTTCAAAAGTGAACAAAGCTTACAGGATAAATCTGAACACGCAGTGTGTGCCTAATGTGAGAAAAGGTCAAACAGACCTTTGAGGTCACAAAACACAAACAGCAAGTGATTTAGGACTTTAATGTTCAACTGGAAATTAAATCCTCTTTTGCGTACACACTCGTGCAAGGGCACAATGAATTTATGTAAGGTGGATTTAAGCAGTCCCCCCCCCAAATTAGCCCCTCCAGCACTGTTTTTAAAAATGTGCCTCTCGGTGAGTGGATTGCAACATCATTCTTAACAGTTTGTGACTAAGATGGATATTTGTGCAAGCTAACATCTCTCTCTCAGGCCCCATGCAGGGCACTAATGTGGGAACGCTTCACAACAGTCTCTCTCTCTCTCAACCTGAAACTTCCAGACTTCCTCATTCTAGTCTTCAGAATAAAACATCACAATACGTCTCCTCTTCTTACTGTAAAATCCAAAAGACTCTTCACCCTGTATGCTGTCTTCCATATTCACAGACACTTGTGTGTGTGTGTGCGTGTAATCTAGCATCTGAGACTGAAGTGTATGAATGGAGCAGTGAAACAGTAGGACTTTAGCTTGGGGCAGAGGCTTAGAAGGGCTTATGCTGGGATGGGGTGATTGAGTAACTGTGCTTGGCTGCTGCTCTCCGGCCTGATTTCAATTCAGTATACAGTTATGATGCACAGGGGCTTTTCTTATCTAATCATACGTGCAACTGCAACAAAGGGTGTCAAACTAATTAAGATAAGAAGCCGGATTTCATCACGATAGTGTAAGTGAAACCAATTACAAAGTGCATGTAAAAGAAAGAAGTTGAAACACGATCAAAGGAAAGAGTTCACTGATAAAAGAACTCCTGATTTTGAATAAAATTTGAACTGTGCCATCAAAAAGGATGCTGAATTGGATTTTTAAATTTAAGAAAGTAGAATTGAAAAGAACTGAAATAAAAAAAAAGTTAACATTTTTAACTAGAAAGAAAAGTTTGTCAATATAGACTTTGAATGCTGGCTTGACAAAGACTTGTTTGAAAGTTTAGAAAAAGAAGTCTTTAAGTTTGTGGGTTTATAGACGGAACAATGAACAGAATGATAGAATATCAAAACAATCAATAGAACAACAGACAGAAGAGCTGACAGAACGACAGATCAGTAGATAGATAGAATGCCAAAACGATTCAGGCGGACAGACTAAAACAGTGTAAAAGCTCTTCATGACGTAGGTGTGTTGTTCAGGAAAGGTTTGACAGCATTTAGGCTGATGGTGACCTTCACAAGAGGGAAAACAGTGTGTGTTTTGTTGGTAAGCAGTGTGTGTAGCGCATGTTAAATGAGGAATGTGTTTTGGAAACTCCAATGATTCCAGGCTTGTTCAGTCTTTCCTGCTCTGGCCCACATTTAATGATATGAAGGAGCAAGTGGGAGTCCAGCACACACACACACACACTCAGACCTGTACTGACCCTGAGCCCCGGCGGTCCCACATCTCCGGTTCTGCTAACAGACTCACCACATAATGCCAGCTATTCAGCTGCTGCCTACAGTGCTGCTCGTGAGTTTAAATCTGGCACGCAGTACATTTTCAACATCAATCAAATTTCAGTAATGCATATTAAAACCCAAGTTTAGCTAGTTAGCATGTTCCTGGTAGTCCCTACTGGTAGATACTATACCTACACTATCTGGCACCTAAAAACATTTCTTAGTTAGTATCAATGATAAAAACAGTTGTGCTGCTTAATATTTTGCAACAGGTTTGCTATCACAGATGTCAAACCGAGTGCTAAACAAAGGTTTGCATGGGATTGACATTATAAACATTTAAATGCTCCTTATGCCTGGAAACCACTGTTAGAGTCAAGTCACCAATATTTAGAAGTCAGAAAGATTTATTGCCAATTATGTTTGCACATACAAGGAATTTGTTTTGGTGACAGAAGCTTCCAGTACACAGAGACAACAACAACACACAGATAATAAAAAATAAAGATATGTGAATAAAATACACACACACACACACACATAAACAAAAATAGACAAAAATTGTATGTACAGATGTGCTATAGATAGAATAAGATGTAGGGATAGACTTAATGCTGCCAAGCCTCTACTTTAATACTTAACCTACGTCAGCTTCTATGTGAATGTCTGAATGGTGTATTTAAATACATCTGGTCAATGCATGCATGTGCTCCACTGGCGGTCAACCAAATTATTTCGCTTTCTCTCACCAGATCGAGTTTTCCCAGCAAACCCGGGAAGCTTTCAGAAACACAGGGTGGTATCGCCATGGAAACCATCACCATTCCTTCAATAGCTTCGAGTGCCGGGGCAAGAGAGCGCCGTGCGGTCTGGAGGGCCCTCCTACATAAAGGACCCCCGTTGAAACAGACCAACACACCGGCCAATCAAAACAGGGAACATTTCCGGGAATATCGGCACGTCCTCAGAGGGTCACGCAGTTACCCACAGGGTCAGCTGAAGCGTGTGAGATGCGTCCTCGGCACATGCCAGGTACAAAACCTCAGCCACCGTCTCTACCAGCTGAACAAACAAAACGGACGGCAAGATGCACCAATCAATCCCAGAAGTCCACATAGTTATGGATAAGACTAGGACTGACCACACAGCAAAAACCTATCCAAAAATGTGACAACAGAAGACCACCGACACCAGCGGGCAACCAACTCAACAACTGGCGTAATCAATTTACAGGTGTCCTGTCATGAGAAATCAAATTCTCTTGATCGTTTGAAATAAAAGAGTTCAATGTGCTTACTGTAACTTTAAGAACTCTAAACTTCCCCTAAACAAGTGTCTATTGAAACGGAACCACAAAAACAACTCGTTATGAACTTCTGCAACTCTGACGTCATCTAACATTAACATACAGTATGATCGCCAAGATTAACATGCAAGCTTCTATTTCAATGTTCAGAAACTTGGCCTGGCCTTCATATGGAGTAGTAAGGAGGATGTTAGATAGATACTATATTACTCTTAAACACCAGAAGAAGTAACGATAAGTGTAAATGAGGGAACGTTTGAGAAACCTTGTGCTGTTCCTGACTGTGTGTAGCACCTACTAGCTCTGCAGATACGTCTGGAGTTTCGTTTTCTGATCTAAACAGTCTGAGTTTTCATCTCAGCATGGATTGTTTAATGAATCTCTTTAATGTCTTAAAGTAATGCAACTTTGGAACCAATAGAAAACACTACTAAAAAACTACTTAGTGGATCTCAGGGAAGAGAATAAAATTGTAAACATTATATGTCCCCATTTAACAATCAATTGTCCTTTTCTAAAGGCCAAATTCAGGTGAAAGTCCCGCCTAAGCTATTTCCCACTTTTGATAATTCATGCCCTTCTGTAATGAATCGACTTGAACCTTCATTATCTTTACAGTAATCCCACACTGTTTGAGAAGATTGCCGTCTCTTTCTCTCCCTCTCTAAGCCAGGACAAATCGGCCTTGACTGAGCCACCTAAAGCTGAACAGAGCTTCAATGTGAACATCTTAAGAGTAAATATCCTGTAAGCTGCACTTAGTTATGAATCTAACTGCATTAGATAAAATATCAAACTTGAAAGTGAAAGTGTTTTTCCCACTACAGTTGAACCTGGTATGCTTAAAGAAAGATGGATAAAAAACTACTGTTTAAATTGAAGACAAAATGTATTTGGATTCTTTCTAATTCAATGATTATTGGTCATGTCACAATTATGTTAATCCTGACACGTTGCAACTAAAGGCCCCATATTTGAACAGATGCGTACAGAAAAGAGCACTTTTTTTCAGTGAATAACTTAAATTTTAATCAAAGTTGTTTAAATTGAATTCAGATTAAATTAAATGAGCTACACAAGTTGATTCAAATTGTAAAAATGCCACAGAAAGTGCAGTTAGCTCTGAGAAAAGCTCAGTATTTTCTTGCAAATACCATTATCTTTAATATTTTGTCATCTTAAAGGGATAGTTCACCCCAAAATGAAAATTCTGTCATTAATTACTCACCCTCATGTCGTTCCAAACCCATAAGACCTCCGTTCATCTTCGGAACACAAATTAAGATATTTTTGATGCTTTTTATTTTTGATGATTATTTTACCGATCTCCTTGCAACGTTTCTGGACGTTGATCGTGTAAGGACCCTTGCTGTCTATGGGAGGGTCAGAGAGCTGTCAGAATGCATCAAAAATATCTTAATTTGTGTTCCGAAGATGAACGGAGGTCTTATGGGTTTGGAACGACATGAGGGTGAGCAATTAATGACAGAATTTTCGTTTTTGGGTGAACTATCCCTTTAATGGTAACTGTTTTTAAACAGGTTTCCGGAACTCTCCTCCCATCAGCCATTGGCTGGAAAAACAGATAGTCCCTCCTCAAACTCACACCATTGGCTGAGCCAATGTCAACTTGTTAGGCCGCTCAAACCAACAGCGTAATGTTACAAGCATCACAGACCCACACTGTTTACACTCTTCAGGGAAATTAAAGTCTTACTTACAGCTGTCTCTGCACTTTACACTAGGATTGGAGAGTATTTTCTCTTCGAAAAATTACACACAGCCACTTTATGTGTCCACATACCATTTGGGACCACTGTATATTCCCATTGTTTCCCATTGTTATATGTCAAATCTTTATCCATAAAGCTCTCAAACTTTCAACACTGTCTGATCGTGTACGTTGCACATGCCAGTCTCACAACATAAAAATCACAAATAAAACATAGGCAACAAATTTAAACACAACCCTCTGGCCAAACAAACAAACAAACAAACACACACACACACACACACACACACACACACACACACACACACATACACACACACACACACACACACACACACACACACACCTTCAGTTTGTCATAGTGTGTCAGTGGTGGAGTGTCTGCTATCCTCATGTTCACATATAGGTCAAATGTTTCTATTAAACATAAAGCACTTTAAAAGTGACATGATCGATTTCCTTCTTTAATGTCATTGACTTGAATGGACGAGATGTTATTTAATTCTAAGTTAACAAAAGCTTGTGCAAATATTTTGCAAGTGTATAATGACTGTTTGTAGTTATGTGTCAGTGCTGTGTATTTTAATATGATTTAGCTGTTTCAATAAACAAAACAAATGCAAATGGTTATTGTGTGACATGAGTGATATTATCAATAACCCACCATGACCCAAAAACAATGACACTGATACTGGAGTACTGGAGTAAAAAAAAAAAAAAAAACTTAACTGGAGAAAAACTAACAAACAACTATGTAACATATGGGCTTTAGGGCTTACTGCTTTTATGGAAACAGCAGCAACAAGAATAAGATAAAATACACCAATTTTTAATAAACAGTTACACTACTGTTTGAATGGTTGGGGTCGGTAAGATTTTATAATGTCTGTAAAGGAAGTCTCTTTTGCTCACCAAGGCTGCATTTATTTGTTCAAAAATACAGTAAAAACAGAAATATTATTACCATTTAAAATTATTGTTTTCTATTGTAATATATATTTTAAAAAGTAATTTATTCCTATGATGCAAAGTCTTCAGTGTCACATGATCCTTCGGAAAACATTCTAATATGCTGATTAAGAAATATTATTATCAATGTTGAAAACAGTTGTGCTGCTTAATATTTTTGGGGAAACCATAATACTTTTTCCAGGAATTTTGGATGAATAGAAAGTAACAAAAAAAGCTTTTATTTGAGCTAGAAATCTTTTATAACATTATAAATGTCTTTACTGGCATTTTTTATCAAATTAATACATCCTTGCTGAATAAAAGTATTGATTAGCAAGTAATGGTTATTTTTGCCTATTGGTACTGTACTAATAATGAGTTTTCAAACATAGCCTACTATTAATTTGACATACAGTGCTTTTTACTTACTGGACGTAGGGAAAGACATTATTTAGTCAGATGTCTCTCTCTTACCTAAATGGAGACCCTTTCTTACAACATTAAGAAACAAATACTTCCAGGTCGTACATAAATTATATATCCGTGTCATCTTCATTTCTCCCTCTTTCACCCCCGATCAAGATCTGTTCAAAATCACGACATTTAAAAAACAAACAAGCTGCTGGCTCTCAGGTGTCTTTGCCACTGTTTGAGTGTTGTATGGAGAAAGACCGTGTGTGTGTGTAACACACTTGCGCTCTTCTCTTTCCTTATGTGTATGTGCACACATCCTCATAACTCAACGCTCCAAACTTAATCCAGGAAAGGTGAACATTCCTGCATCATAACTTTGACTGAAAGAGAAATGTGTAAAAAGTGAGCATGTCTCCAAAAACCTTGTTGAGCTGCAGGTTTAATGACTATATTTTTTATTGATTGTTTTTTTTTTTTTTACAGAAATTATGTTTTGATTTATGTTTTTGATTATTGAGCTGCAGGTTTAGGTTCACTTAAGTGACTGCATTTTTTTTCATTCAGAAGTTGTTTTTTTTACAGAAAATAATTTATTTATGTTCTGATCATTGTTGAGCTGCAGGTTTAGGCTCACTTAAGTGACTGCACTTAATTTAATTAAGAAGAATTCAATTATTTATTTTAATTATTTAGCCTGACATGTTTACGGTTCCAAAATATGTTTCTTAAAAATAAAATGTATTGTGTTCAGTGGAAAAACAGTAGTTTTTTACCCAGATATTTCAAAATAACATATCTTAGAGCTGTAATCGCAATACCGTGAAACCGTGTTATTTTTATCTAAGGTTATCATACCGTCAGAATCTCATACCGGCCCATGCCTACATACAATGTGTCCTTTCTGAAACAGACTGTATTTGGGCCAAGATATCCCAGTATTGAGCACTCAAACACACACATTTACGCACACTGTCAGACCCCTGGAAGCTTCAGAGATAAAGTGAAGTGGAGATAGTTAAAGTGAAAGTGAAAGTTAAAGTGTTTTTCCCACTACAGTTCAGAGACCCCATATGTGCAGCATTGATAAATAGAGCAGTCAGAGACACCACACACACAACATCCTCCTTCATCCTGAACAACACGATCTCAGCTCAACCATGAGTGTGGTGAACCTGGTATGTACCTGACATTCAGACAATTATTCATATACATGCATCATAATTTCCTCAGTGGTGTGTAAAGCAGAATTGTAGGCATTACACATGAATAATCATTTTTGACCATTTTGCGATGCTGAAAACTGTCAATCAGACTGTGTCACTGTTTGAGTTGGTAGACTAAGTCTTATTAGTTGTATCTATGGGTCCAGATCCCTCTCTGGCATATCGCACCGAATGTCACGAGAAAGACGAATCAGAATTCAGGAACTTTGAGGTAAAACTTGGAATTATGCATATTCTTAATTCATATTTTCTTGTATCATTCCTTTTGATATGACCCTCTTATTTCCATTTTGATGTGTGTACATGTCTAATACAGAGTGGAGCTCTCTTTGACCGTGTGTTTAATACATACAAGCTGATGCACACATACCAAACACTGGACTTTGTCAAACAGAAGGTTGGTCTATCAATGCCATAAATCAAACTGTACATACATTTTTTTTTAAATAACATTATATAAAATATTTACAATATACAGATGTAGATTTTTATTTTTTTCTGGTGTTTATATTATATTATATATATATATATATATATATATATTTATTATATATT